GGGCCGGCGGAGAAGCCCCCGGCTGCAGCTGCGGGCAGCCGTCTGGCACGGGGGGCCGGGAGCTGGGCTGCCAGTTTGGATTGGTGACCCCATCAGGGAGGCTCCGGCCTTGGGAGCTGTCGGGAGAGCGCAGAGGTGGGAATGGTCTTGTTGGGGTGAGGATCTGGGGCGCCCGTGCCGGTGCGTGCGCGGGGAGGGCAGCGCAGGAGGGGCTGGCAGCCGGGCACCAGGCTCTCAGCAGCTTCTCCCGTTGCCACAGGACTCGTGGTCAAATCCTCGTTAGCTTGCTCTGTTTGGCTACGTGTGAATGAGATGATGACTACTTAACGCTCATTCATCAATATTTTCAGTCAAGTGGCTGCAGCATATGTGTGGCATTTGGGGTGGTCCTGGCACTGTGAATTTCAGCCTTGTCACAGGCTTAGATCCACAGCAGTGTTTACTGTAGAGAAAAACACACTTCAGTCTTTTCATTGTTAAACAAAACAATACAATGCTTTTTCTAAGCTTAAAGATAAGTATCAACAGCTACATTAACCTTTATGGAAGGGCATCAGACCTGGGGGCTAAGCTCTCCATGGACTGGAGCAAAGCCCCAACAGAAGCCTTTGGAGCATCCCCATCCTTCAGTGTTCAGTGACTGGCAGAAAATACCTAACTAATCTAAAATATTACAAAAGCATATAATTAATTTTAAAAAGATTTTTTTTCATAAAGCAATGACTCATGTTCGTATAGCATATTGTATTTTTAATGAAGTTCTGAAGCTTAATACTTTAAAAATACCTGGTTTTCTGTTGATGGATCAGGCAAGGGTTAAATCTGATGTGGTTTGCTCTGTATGCCAGTCACACCTCCTAGCAGATCTGGGTCTGTAATTGTTTTTGTGGGTCCTAATTGCTGCTTGTTGCATAGACCAGAATGGCTTGATTTTAGTCTCTGAATAGGAGCGTGCCTGCTACATACCTCTGACTCTACCCCTAATAGCAGGTTGTGCTATAAAATCATTTTTTGCTGTAGCCAGGGAGCTGTAATTATAGGTAGGAAGTAATTGGAACACTGAAGGTTTCCGCTGTGCAGAAGACAAAAAATGTGACTACATGCCTAGTGGTTTCAAATTTTTCCTTGTCAGAAACAAATGTTTTGCTTCAAGTTTGAATTCTGTAGTGTTCATTAGCATTTGCTCAAACCAGGTTAGCATTCTCAATCATGCATCTGTATCGAGCTCTACATAGAGATTAAACATGTTCATGGGTGCAGTGGAACTCAACTCATCTGAATGCAGAGTGAAGTCACATTTATAATGAAAGAGAAAAAGCCTGAACTTTACATATTTTGGTTGGAATTCTGTAATAGAAATATTTCACTATTAAGATCCTGATTCTGATCTTCACTTGATGTGTATGCACACATACAATACTATTCCTATTAAGCTCCAAAAAATGTGTTTAAATTTCAGCATGTAGAGCTGTGTTTCAGAGGGAGGAGACAGTGTAAGGATCCCTGCCCCTGGTTTACTGGCAGAGAAGCTGAATCACAGTGGGGTGGGTTGGGTTCCCTCAGAATCTCTCACACAGCCTAAAAGACACCCTAGATCCTTAGGAAATTGCTCAACTGCAGAGAGTGTCCAGACAAAACTAGAGACCAGAAAATACTGATTTTATTTATTTTGTAGATTTGTTGATGGCTTTTAAGGGTGAAAAGCATGCTTCTTGCACAGAGCCTCCCCATCCTTTGGTGACACTGAACGTATGTCAGCCTCTTCTGGGGCACTTGTCACTATGATGGGGTAATTCCCACCGTGCCTGTTTCTGAAATTTCCCTTTCCCCTGGCGCAGCAGGGGCTGCAGCAGCTGCGGGAGGTGGAAGAGGAGGTTTCTAACAGCAGCTAAATGGTACAGAGTGCTGCAGCTGAGAAGGGAAACACTGGCAAGGAGAATGTAGCAGCCTTGTGCCTGGCCCACAACTATGGAAGAAAATGGAGTCCCATACCTGTATGGTGTACCTATACCCAGTGTACCTATATGGACAGGTATACACAGATCTGTTCTGCTTGCACTCCAAGCTGGTAGGATACAAGCCATCTCCTGTCCAGGTGACACTAGTGGCTGTCCTTCACACAATACTACCTGAGTGCAGCATTGCAATGAAGCCATGGCAACTGCATCTGTCCATATAGATATATGCCCCCAACCCCTCCCTAAGCCTATTCTAAAGGCCCCCAAAGGTAAGAGTAATCTTTCCTCCAAACTGAGCAGGCCCTGCCAGGCTGGGGAGGGAGGCAAGGGGGATGTCAGATGATACATACCTAAGCTGTAGAGCTTCCTGTTGTTTTGTGCTTCCTGTAGCAGAAACAGTATGCACCTTACTTGTCCAGATTACCTCTACCTTCCTTGTTCCTCCCAGAAATCACCTGCTAAGAAGCTAACTAATGCACTTAGCAAGTCTTTAAGCTGTGCTTCCAGCCGTGAACCTTTGCACCCAATGTTCCCTGACCAGCCTGAAAAACCTCTAAACCTGGCTCATATTGTGTAAGTATCTGTGTGCTGTAGAGAAAGTAAGCTTTGTTGTAGCAGTTGCTTACACTGAGTGTAGATACTATAGCTCTGAGGAGAACTGGAGGCAGCGTATCGAGCACAATCCGTCACCTACAGATTATTTAGTATAAAAATGTTCTTCTGGTGTGACTTCACTTGAAAAGTCAGTGGGGTACGACATACAACCAAATACTGGCACACAATGTTGGTATGCCCCCGTTCTCCTCAAGAAATATCCATGCAATTTCATGGAGTTTCATCACTCTGAGATGTATTCAATGCTAAGAGCATTTTTGTCATCTAGAGACTCTCAACTTCAGTGTTTCACAGGTGTGTCGTGACATGAGGCACCAGAGAAAAGTTAAGGCCTACCAGTTTTGTTGAAGTCAGTGTCGGGGTTCTTGCTGACTTTAGTGGAGCTGTGGCTTAACCCAGCTCTAAAGACTAGCTGCATGATTATGTATAAGAGCTGTGTCGTTAATTGTCAAGTTACTTGAAAGGAGTCTATTTATATCGTGATGTTTTGGGAAAGCAAAATTGTTTTTTTTATGTAGTAGTTTGTATCACTACTTGTTCTCTGCAGGAGACAAGAAACTCAACACAGAGAGAAAATGTATTTGTGCAGGGTGGGGAAATTATCAAATTATCACTTTGGATCTTTTTGTTTTAAAGCATGTCCAGCATCCATAATGGCAGTTGCTCGGATTTTCTCATTTGCCAGATTATTTCCCCCTTGCTTCCTGGGTCCTTAAGAAAAAAAAAAAAAGGTTAAATTTTTCAGGAAAATTCAAGAAGACACTGGTTGGAAGAAAGTTACAAAGAAATGAACATGGAATAATTATTCCAAAGATACAGTATTTAAAGTATTTACCTTGTTCTGTTATATGTGTCTTAAGAAAAGATCTTTCTTAACCACCTTCCTAATGTCCCTGACTGAAGAATTTCAGGCAGCAGCCATTAAAATCATATTTGCATGCTGCGTATCTGTGTTACTGGCTGCTGGAATTATTCCAGTCTGTAGTTATTATACATGTTTACTTTTATCAGAACTGAGTGTTTGTATGTAGTATCTTTAAGGGCACGTGCATGCTGGCCAGTGGGCTGGGTGATGCCTGTAAAGTTCATTAAACCTACCTGACATTTTAAGGATAAGTCATGCTGATGGTCCTCCTCATGGGGTTACAGGACAGTTTCTCCAAGGCATAAAAGGATGCTCTGCTCTTCAGACATGAAGTGCCTCTGATAGACAGATAGTGCCAAATCCCTGTTACACTCAACTGTCAGTTAAAATCCATTCATCTCTTAATGGAGGTGTAATGGGAGGATGTTCTTCTTTGGAAGAAGGCCATCTGGAGATGGATCTGCTGAGCTACCCCACTGCTGTGCATGGTATAAAAGCCTGGCTGTGCTGTAGAGCCAGTGATCATTTCACAGGGCAGTTTTTGGCCATCCTTAGGAGAAACTGAAAGAGTCAGAGAATATAAAACTAAAAGAGAAGCCTCTGTTCCCTGTTGGCTGGAGGCCCTCAAAGGCCTGGGGCTATGTCAGAAGTGAAAAGCGGGCTACTGTGAAGGGATTAAATGCACTTAGGCAAGGCAGGGGGATGGTGCCATAACTGAGTAGGATCTGTTCCAAATCTTTGCTGTGAATTTGACACTTTCTGTTCTTCCTAACTGTATAGACATAATTTAGAGTGATTGGATGTGTGAACGAGCAACCATCTATTTTGTTTTATGACAGAGTTCCTCCTTGTTCATAGATTGGATGCAATATAACGTGGCAATATGTATTGGCTGTAAGGATACATGAGTGAAAAACCTGTATGTTTTGGAGGTAGCATGATCTACGGCATAATTCACATAAATTACCTGAGAGGAGAGATAAACTACAGTACCTCACTGAGAATATTTTCTTGCTGATGTGATTTTTATTTTTAAACATAATGGAGATTGAGAGAAACAGCTCTGGGCAGGAATCCAGGCAAAAGGATTTTTATATGCTCATTTAATGGAATAATTTTGGCAATAAACCAGTATCCTTTTCTTAGTTTCTAGCTTAAATAGGGACAAGTATTCTCTGCATTACTATACAGCCTTTCCTTTTCATTGTTCTTCCACCCTTGAGTGGTACCAGGCAGAAAGACTGTATGGTTTTTATGTTTTAATGGTGCCACACAAAATTTTCAATTAAGAAAGAAATGCATCTAAGGCTCATCTAGAGAAGTAGTTATCGAGGTGTCATTAACCTGATGGAAATACTCCCTCTGCAGCCCCTTCCCTGCCCTGATCAAGGAGTCATTTTTCCTTTATACACACAAGATTGGCAACAAAAAAGAAACACCAGACTGCAGTGATGACAAATGACATGACCAGTGCATCATGGCGGGATTTTCAAATGCATTCTGCACTGGTCTGACTTCATTTACATCTAAGCCCATGGGAGCATTATTTTTTATATCAGTGTGAAGAGATTAGACCAGCATGGAGCACTTTGGAATATTCCCTTTATCTAATTTGATTTATTACTGTGGGTATGTGCCATAATGTGCGTTTATCACATAGCATGTTTAAATAGTATTATGTTTTCTGCCTCCTTGAGGGTAGTTGATTATCATCAGCTCACTTTTATCAGAAAGCTTAATCACTCACTTCTAGAAGTTTAGAAATAGCCATGGAAAGATATACATTTATAGTTGATAGCTGAGTTTTCCTTTGCTTTACCATGAAGTCTGCTATTCTTGTCTTACCACATCATGCAACTGTGTCTATATATATAGATATATATGTTTGATCCATTTAATATTCAAGATTAACCTGAGGAATGGGACAATGGGCATCAGTCTTTAAGATTATTATTTTGGGGAAGCTCAGATTAGCTTAATAGTAGTTTTCTTCATAGAAGAATTTACAAACTGATGGTAATCACAAAACTTCAGCAAGATTAACCTGAGGAATGTGACAGTGGGCATCAGTCTTTAAGATTATTATTTTGGGGAAGCTCAGATTAGCTTAATAGTAGTTTTCTTCATAGAAGAATTTACAAACTGATGGTAATCACAAAACTTCAGCAAAGCCTTGAAGTTTATAGACATTTGTACACAAGAGTAACAACATATCTAAACAGGATCAAGGACCTTTCAGGTGTAGAGGCTCTCATGCTTTTTGCAGAATCAGGGTCATAAGAATGGAGTATGTCCAATGCACTATTTAGATGATATACATAATAAACTGACAGTTTAATTAATGATATCTTTTCCATTTCATTTTGGCTGCAAAAGAGATACTTGGTGAGTATTTTTCTTCTTTAGTACACTTATGGAGGAAAAGGGCTTTGAAGAAGTGTGATAATCTTTATTACCAATTATTACCTTCTACCTTATTACCATTCCTTATTTTTCTATCAGAATACAGAACCAAATAAATGTTTTGAATTCAAAGACAATGAAAGGGAAGACCTCTTTTAGGAATTAGAAACTTTCCTTTCCACACTTACTTTGAGGTAAAGCTTAGAGAAGACATTAATCTGAAGTGTGTATGTGGTGATCTGCTGGAGTCCATGAATTCAGCATACTCCCTTCCCACTCAGTGGAGATGGACTGGGTGCAAGGCAAAGCAGAGTACAGACTCTGCCAAGGGAGCACTCCTCCTGCCTCCTTCCCTGGGACAGCATTGAGAAATAGCCTCTCCTTCCTTCTCTTCTGCTGTTTAGGACTCCACAAACCAGGGTTGGACCCATCTTTCAGAAACCCTAGCCTGTGCCCAGTTAGTTTTTGAATGTGTTCACTGGCCAGTAATTGCATTGAGAAAAGGAAAAACGCAGGAGTTACATGTAGCTGGTATGAACTGTTTCTCCTACTTACATTACCAGTTTGCAGTTCCCAGGCAACAAATTATCAATTGCTTACCCTTTAAATAAAATTAGTTTGTAAGTAAGTATTCTCTCAAAGTTTATTTTCATATCTCTGTATTTCAAGACTCAAACCTCTGTGGCCTTTCCAGGGGATTGGCTCTGGTCGTGGCCTCATCCAAACTCTCCCTAGCTCTGATGAAGGAGTGCATGAAAAATAATATTAAATACTTCTCTATAAGTAGGTAGAGCACAAAGTGCTACTTCTCAGATTAATGACTGACCACAACTGGAGTTTTTCACGTGGGTGGGCAGGTGCAGTATTAGGCTAAAACTTTATTTTCAGATAAATAAATAAGATGCCAAATCCTACGTCTTTTTATTTGCAGTTTCAAACTTCTTCAAATTGGTGTGGTATATTCATGGTGAGAAATCCATTTGTACTTATCAAAGACTACATTTATGCTTCTTTTCTAACATCTACAAAGAAAGAAAATATATCATCATATTTCACTTCTGTGCAGAACTGGCTTTCTTTATTTCTTACAAATTGTTTGCATGACCAGTTGTCTTGCACAAGTATTTTGCTGATGGCTAATATATTTTGAGTTGCACATCTACAGAATTCAGAAAGCATGACAGATCTTTCACAGAGCTGAAAGGGGATATTAACCTACTTGAAATCTAGGCAGTTTGAAGTTGAAATTATATCTAGCTTCAGGTTCTACTCATATCTGGTTGAAAACCCTGTGGTTTTAATAACATATTTTTTAGTCTGTCCAGACTGCCTGTATCTTTTGCCCAATGTTGCATAAGAATTCCATTAAGAAGGGGAAATCTCTCCTTAATGGATGGAGAAGGAAAAATCATGCACAAAAAAAATTTTTTTACAAGTACATAATAAAAGAAAGCAGAGAAAATATTCCTTCTCATTTCAATTTTAGTAAGAGCAGGAAATAAAACATCATTATTAATGGGTCCTCTTAAACTAGACACTTATTTTAAATTTTTATTTGGAGGGTTGTTATACCAGCTGAAAAGCTTTGCAGTTAAATCAGTTAAGTACTACATGTATTTCATGGAATACTGAGGGCTATGGGTACACTGTGCTCACTATGTGGATATGGTAGCATGGAGCTTAGCACCAAGGGTAGCCTCATGAAAAGATGTGTAATTTAATTGGTAGTTACCCCCTGCAGACCTCCATGCCACCACAGTGAACCTGCTAGCAGTGCTCAGCCTCACTGGTTGGAAGCAGTGACTGCATCCTGGACTACAGGCACTGGGAAGGAAAAATGGCATTGTGGTTGTTTTGCCGAAGCAGGGGAAAAAGTCAAGCAAGTTGCTTAAACCTCACCTCAGAACACACAACAGGAGTATTTCCTTCCAGGCCTAAGGAACAGTGTGGTTTTATCAGCTTCTATTTAAAAACACAGCATCTCTGATTTAGAACTATTGCTACTTAAAGCAGAAGGTGCCAGTGGTAATGTTAGTTTAAACAAGAAGCTCATTTGATTCTCTCTAAATACTGTTGATGATGAGTTTTCTTTGGTGCAAAATTAATGCAACAGGATGTTTTGCCTTCTTCTAGGCCCCCCCGACCTGTAACCAGCATGAATGACACACTCTTCTCCCACTCTGTTCCCTCAGGAAGTCCTTTTGCAAACAGAAGGTGAGTTCTTACTCTAACTTAAATTGAACCACTGTATGAGTATGATAGAGATTTCAATTTCAATCCCCACACAGGAAAAAAAAAAACAAAACACAAAAACCCACAGAACCAAATTCAAAATAAAATTAACAGACACAAGCAGAAAATGCCCTGGTTAATTTGAACTGATTTGAACCAAATTATCTAGATGCAGAACTGATATTAGGACACCCCCAGCTCCTCACAACAGAGCACAGAACTTAAATTCTCCTTTGAATTATGATGTCCCACTAAATGTGCTCACATGCAATGTAGGCACCTTCCCATAGAGGCTGAAAATGGGCTCTTGGTGAGAAGCAATTTTGTAGCAGGACTGTGGGAATAGGAAGTGGGACATGCTGTTGCCTACTGGGAATGCCTGCATCAGGCTGCAGGGCATGATACGAACGAAGAGAAAATGTGTTCATACTTGCAAGATATAGGAAGGCATCCTTACACCTGTTAAACCGTTCAGATTTTCATGAAAAGCTCCAAGAAAGGAGTAGTTTTGGCATGTGGTGACCCTTCAGCAAACAAACCAGTGAAAAGTGGTCAGAAACATAACTCCCAAAGAAAAGGTGCTTGTGGCTGAGTGTGAACATTTTGGCTCAGTATTTTGGCTTATGGGGCCAAAATACTTGTGTAGCATTTGCTAGCCCCAATCTATGTAAACCTGCCAATGCACATAGATGAGAAGGTGGCAGAAAAATAACTTCCTGCTGTATGTGGGAAGACAAGTGCTATGTCTTCCTTGGGTGCATATGATTGCTTGATT